CCTTGTGAAAAAACACTGCAAAAGGCAAAGAAGCTTTTCAAGGTAACTTTATTGTCATTTTCGAAGGATTCGCTCGTTAATTGTTTTTGGGAAAACCTCTCTTTCTGCCATTTCATTCTCGTCTTCAATGGTGATCTACGTTAAAATTTTCAAACATTGACTAGAATTCTCTTCCTCGGTAAGGTTACGATTCAGTTTCTACATCAGCTTTGTTCTCATTAAAACAAAGCTAGGTTAAAATTTGGAAAGGCAAAGTCAACATCCCAGTCCTCAGGGTTTACATACATATTTCAAAGTTTATTCGGTGGAAACTAAGAGCACTGTAAGTATTCACTCGTTAATGTGTCACTGGAGTCTTTTGAAAACTGGACATTATTGTGTCTGGCTAGAACTCGCTTCTATCTTTCTTTCGTAGGGGGCTTTGAGAAAGCACTGCAAATGGCAAAGAAGCTTGTCAAGATGATCGGATGCAGGTATGTTTGTTATCATATTTGTTAAAGAAATTACTCATTTTCTCCTAGGCAAAACGACTCGAATCTCTGACAGTCGATTTTCGTCTTCTTAACTGATTACTACGATAAAATTTTCAAACACTCACTAGAATCCTCTTCGATAAGATTACGAGTTAGTTTCTTCATCGCCTTCGTTCACAAATAAACACAGTTTAAAATGTTGAAGGCCAAAGTCAACATCCAAGTCCTCAAGGTTGACAGGCGTCTTATAACTTTATTTAAACATTTTTTTCCGCGGTAGAGAGATTTTGACCTCCGAAATGAGCATTTTCTTCGAAAATTTTGGTCCGTATAGCAAGTTAGGGACCGCAAATTGATCAATCGCATGGCGAAAACAAACATATAACAAATTTCTTTATTTATTTACCTGTTTTCATGATAGTTTTACATGTTATGTGGTTCTGTCAAAGATCGAGGTGATCTATCAGTCACTAAATTACTCTAAATGAAGCACATTTTAACCAGAGACGGCTTATAAGTCTTATAACTGCTGTATGTAAATTTCACCGCTGACAACTAAAACAGTTTATTATTCATTCAAAATATTTCCCCAATTCTGATTGGCTAAAAGCACACGCATAGTTCACCATAACCAGTTACTGATGACCAAATTTGGAAGAATTTTGAGTTTAACGAGGAAATGACGTCAAAAATGCAGTCCTCTACAGGTTAAAGGGGCTATGTCACCCCAAACGCATGCGCGAGCCAATGAAAACAAACTTGAAAAAGTTGGCCCGACTTTTTCAAGTTGTGTCGGAGATCTTGGAAGGCTGTTTTTATCTGTCTAAATCTCAGCCATCGTTCGATAGTTAGCGAAGTTTTGTATTAAGAATCGTTCTATGGTGATTACAGAATAATTTTTTGGCGTTATTTTGAAATAGTTTGCCTGTTGAATGTTTTTACGTGGATTTACTGTGTCCTCTTATCAGCGGCCGTTGTAATGGCAGAGTTAATGAAGGCTACTCCACAATGAGTGATGGAATCTTTGATGGAATCTTCCCTAAAATTCACAGAACCTTTCTATTGAGTTATTTTAGAGGCTGCTGGCTCTTGGATTTTTCTTCTGCTCAAAGTATGTGGACATATAATGAAGCGGCTATCGAGTTGGCGGCGGCCGTTTTTTGTAAACGATTACAAGAGCATCAGGCCATGAGTTTCGTGACGAAACTAAACTCCTGGCGAAGGAAAAATCATAAAATTCGGCAAGATTCCTTCTTGTGTTTATCTGGATTCACGGCAAAGATAAACACGACCGTTTGCTCGTCCAGATTGTTCTCAACGGACTTAGAGAGGCAGCTTAGTACGAGTTAGATGCTGTAAATGCCATTTTTTTGAACTGTTTGTGTTCGAGCATATTTTTGGAAAATAGCAGAGTTTACTTTCCCTTTTTATCAACGGACTGCTTATAGTGGAGTAGTATACCAATGATGCTTGGTTCTGTTTTTCTCGACGTCGCAGTGATTCGGCAAGATCGAACAATTTTGCGCGATAATGTAAGTTTCCCCAAGATCAAAACAAAGACTTGACGTCTCTTGTTCTAGCAGCATCTAAATTATAAAATCACTAGCGACAGACAAGTCTAATTGTTAATGATTTAAAACATTCTTGGTCTTTATCTTCGGTCTAGCGTCTTTTGTAGCTCGTTTGTAAAATACAACTTCGATTTATTTTGTTGTATAAGACAATATGTTGTTGTTGAATTTTTGTTTGCTCTCTATTTTATGAATGGCATGCGTTTTTACTTCAAAACTGCAAGTAAAATTGTCGTCACAATTTTATTCTTGATCTAGCATAACCAGAGAAGAAACGATCCGTAAATTCTGTCGAAATATCCCTTATCTAAACCCATTTCGCTTGTTAACCTCTCTAAATTCGGAGCCTTGGACGTAACAGAGAACATGGTCAAGCGTTAAAAACAATAGAATTTTGACAGTTGAAAGTAATTTGCATAACCTCAGAGCGCATGCTCTCCAGCTGACATAGCCCCTTTAAGGTACCGTTAACCGTGAACGCCTGGGGACGAGGTTGTTTTCGTTGTGAAAACTAAAATGGCGGACACTTCACTCGTTTCAAGAGTAAGAACTACAGCTGGAACTAGACGAAATAATGGCTAAAAACATAGCAAAAACAGCAAGAAGACAACTCGGAGGGCGACATCTGCTATTTGGAGAATATTTGCGGAGCTGGACAAATCTAAACGTACACAAGCATGTTTTAGCTGTCTTTTTAAACTAGGAATTATTTGGAATGAATAATAAAGCAATTAATGAATTCGGCTTTCATAGGATATGAAGAATTAAGCAGATCTCGGAGAGTGTTGTCCACCTCGGCCTTCAGCCTCGTTGGATAACACCATCCTCGATCTGCTTAATTCTTCATATCCTATGAAAGCCGAATTCATTAATTGTTAATTATCATGCATGGTTGTCCGTCATCACATAGTACTGCGTGCGACAAAATGTTGATTTTTTTTATTCTCCTGAAAAAAAAAAAAAAATTAATACCCAATCTCATGCTAGGTACTCGATAACATTCACCAGAATTAATTCCCCTTTCTTTAGGTGGCAGTTTAGTTGCCGCTATCCAAGAAAGCGGAGAGTCGTTTTTCTCTATTTTTACGTCAATTGAGGGAATTTAACACGTGAATGATTCTTACCAGTTTAAAGCCTGAAAAAAAAAATGTATATATAAAGTTTCTGATTCTTTCTTACTGCTTACGACGATTCCCGATTTAAGCAGTAAAATATTTATTTCAACTCCGTAAGAGCCAGTTGACGATATCGCGTAACGTTCCGTTAACCACATTTAACGTTACAAACAACTAAAACCCATGCTTTAAAAGGCTGACTTGTCTTTTGATGCAATGAATTGGCCTTACAACTCTTCTTTTACAACAATAAATTAAACTTCACTATAATTATAGCGCGAAACAGCGACAGTTTTTATGTTTTATTTTAATTGAGGAGATGTGTTATGGTCTTTTTAATAAATGTTTACTGCATGAATTATTCCAATTTAAATTGTTTTCTCCGTACCTACAGTTTAAAATGTTTCCATAAGTTAAAGTTTAAGACATTTTTTATTCTTCCAATTTTTCCTACAGCAATGGAAATAACAAATGAACAGGTGTACCGGAAATTTGTCATTTATCATTTTAGTTATAGGCACGTGATGCATGTTGGATTAGATGAATAAATGGGAAGTACTTTATGTGGAAAAGTATAAACACATCACGACAATTAATGTAAATAACTACATGTTTGTGTAGATTTTAGCATCCTGTTTGTTATAAATTGTGGTCAAATAGAAGAGCCCACGACTATCAAATATCATATTTTTATTATTTTTACATTATGAAAACACATTTAAAGGAAATAGTATTTGAGAAGACAGAACGCGACGATGATGATGATGATGATACGAACATTCGTTTACTATATTATTTACAGCAAAGATTTTGATAACTGGATAATTAATTGGCTCACAAACACTGCTTCGCTGAGTTTTATTGTCCATTGAACGTGACTTGACTTTGATAAAATCTGACATTTAATGCTTGTTTCCCTTGACGTCATCAAAAATTCATGCTAGGGAATTGTCGATCCTTCTGAGTTTTTTCACACTCTCGTGAAGTATTAGAGCAGCTAAAAACTAATATTGAGACAAATTTTCACTTCCAAATGGTTTTTCGTTTTCTGACAGTCAGTAGTACGCTTGAATTTCTACTCTTTTGCATGACGTGGCATTTACATGAAGGTCGAGAGCGGCTGCCATGTTGGTTAAAAAAGTGTGGTATTTGAAGGGTATCTTTCCGGTACTATTTTTCCGCTGGTTTGTTGGCTATTTTAATAAATAGACCTTTTTACCGATAAGTCGGCCATATTGAATCTAGTAGATTTAAGGACATGGGATGCTCAGGGGGCACTCACTCAGGTATTTACGCGCACTTTTCATGAGCCGAACCTAATACATTAAATTAAGTACATGAAAAGTTCGGCGTCTGAATTAATTAGGAACGTCTGTTTCAATTTGGAACGGCGCAGCCGTTCTGTTCGCCTAGCCCGACCGGGAATTTCGCTTTTAGAACGACTTTAGAACGGCTTTGATTCAGACGCCGAACTTTTCATGTACCGAACCTAATGCATAAATCATTATAACGTTGTAGGCAGTTTGACCGAAATGATCATTTTTCTCCTTTTGAATTTAGTTCTTCTGGAATTAAGATCGGCGTCTGAATCAATTCAGCAGGTCTAAATAATTTGGGTCGGCCTTAATTTGATTACGTTGGGCTCATAAAAAATTTGTCGTCTGAACAGGGCCTAATCTATTGTTCCGTAATATAGCTCCCTCAACAAATAGCCTGATGTAGTTTTGAATTTGCTCCTATGTATGTTTTTACATGTATTAAAAGTCTCTTCCATTCCTTTAATTCCTAGCTACTTACAAGGTTGACGAAAGTTTGGGATATCCCCCCCTCCCTTCCCCTCGTTAGTAACGACTCAGCGGGATAGCAACATTTTCTCTTTGCGGACGTCTGAACAATGAGAGCAGAGCTTTTTTAAAGTCTGGCATCCTGACTGCATATAAAATAGGATTTACAACGGAGTTTGCATAACGCAAAAAATTCAGTGAAGAAAACAAACGAATTCTTTCTGGGTCAGAAAGGGAATTAAAACTTCTATAAGATGACCGGTCAGCAAGAAGATATAATATACTGTATGGTAAGCACAACAGTAAAGATACTAAAGTTGTTATAAATAATGTGACAGTTAGTTTTCTTTGTCTTAAAGCAGCTGCACAATGGCGCTGAGGGTGAGCTCCAAAACGAAACTTAAACAGAATGGACGTGTAAGAAACAAAGGTAACAATTAAACACAAACAACAGTATGATGCCAACAAGTGGTGGCTTGTCATCAGAAAATATTCTATCCCCACAATGACTAATGTAATAATAGATAAAACCCAGACAACAGCAATTGCTACCAAAAAGACCCATCTCTTGATCAGCCGATGCCTAAATGGACAAAACGTAGCGTGAAATCGCTCTAAAGAAATCACAGTTATGTTTGTCAGGGAGACAAAAGGAAAGAGAGGGATAAGAACAAGAAATGCAATTCTAACTTCCCTAGATAAAGAATATTTTTTTACAAAGGGACAATAACGGTTTTGGCTATAAAAACTATCAACACTTCCGGAAAGACTTCCAACCAACAAGTCGGCCACAGTTAAGCTCATGACCAAGTACATGCTGCGAGTGCGAAGGCTTTTGTTCTTTATGAAAAGAATGATGGAAAGGAGATTCACCGTTACTATAACAACACACTCGGTGATGAATACGGTAAACAAGATGACGCACTCGGAAAAAGAAATAATCATCTTGTCATGAGTTATTTCGCAGATGGTGTTATTGTTTCTTGAGTTTGTGTTGTCCGCAACAGTTACCTGTAAGAAGAAAAACCTTTGATCAGTATTTTGATCAAAAGAAAGGTCAGCATCGTAACTTGAAAGAACGATCGTAGAATACGATATAGCGTGTTCCCCCGGGGTTTTTTGTTGTTTTTTGTTTTCAGTTTGCTTTGCACTGCTACCTGAATTCTGAACGCCTCGAACACAAAATGCGCACTTCGCTTCCAGATGGAAAAAAGAATGAACAATGCTATCTGATAGAAGAAGAGGATAATTTCTTTGTTTTCACTTGATTGTTTGTTTGTTTTTTGTGGGTTAAATTCTTGTCCACTCAATAACAGGTGCATAAGCCACGGAGGGCCAAACAATATGTGACTGTTAATTTGTTTGAGTTTAGAGGAGATGTATCGGAAAACCAAAAGATTTTATATTAACTTCGATGAATCAACAAATCTGTAAAAGTATTAGACCTGCAGTCGACCTGTATCAGTCGCCGTTTACGGCGACAACTATACCACTAGAAAACTTTTCAGGCAATGATAAGTTTTTGTTGTTCTTTTATGTTCCTATATTCATTGCAATATTTAACGATAACACAAGATTTTTTGATATTCTCTTTCATCTTATCCGTGTTTTCTCTGCGTTAAAATGAAAGGGAATATGCAAATACAAAACGTTCGCTGTTTAAACAACAAACACTAGTCATAAGTTTAATATGGCTTCCAATTGTCTCTTAAATTAAAGAAAGAGAAAAATAAATGTAAGGAAATGTACCATTTTAAAACGAACCTCCAGTCCTTTTATTTTTATTTTTTATTTTTTTTTTCTACTTTCCAGTCTCGTTTTTAGCATTCTTTAAATAATTTGAATGGTTTCTGCACCAGTTATGAATAATTGACAGCTTAAACTGTTTGATGAGCAATTATTGTTTTCTTGATCAGAGCTACTGGATTAGAAAGCAGACTTTCTTTGGAGACTGAGTCACATTCTTGACTTTATCGACAGACAGAGCTTAGATAATAAACATTGATGTCATGAAACTCAGCGCAAAGAAGTAAAGCACTGCGGGCTTACCTTTTTGTAAGTAAACTGGTCAACTGTTCAAAAGACGGTCTTTCGTTCGCTCTAAGTAGAAGAGATCGCTACTCACTACGTCGCAGAAGGCCAAATACTCGTATAGCAATCTAAAATAAAGTTTAATAAACCCTTGAGTCTTTTATAAAATGTTAACAGATCGCTTGTGTTCGAAAAAGCTCATACTTAACTAAATGAAAAAGCAAGTCAGTTGAAATGTTCTGTGGCGGCTTTAAAATATAAGATCGTTTTTATTTTTCTTTGCCAAAACAATCTGATCGTGCCCATCTAGTACTACTTAACGCATTTATCAAGTATAAACACACCAAGAAAATTAATGTAAATAACTACATGTCTGTGTAATTTTGAGCAACCTGTTTGTTATAAATTATGGTCAAACATCTCATTTTTTCTATTTTTTTTATTATTATTATTATTTTTAATTATTATTTATTTTTTTATCTTTTTATAAAAGCACATTTAAAGGAAATGTTTTTTGAGGGGGAGATCGTGACGATGTAGACGACGGCAATGATACGAACATTCGTGAGCTCTATTATTTTAATACAGCAAAGAGTTTGCTAACTGGATAATTAATTGGCCCACAGATACTGCTTCGCCGATTTTTTCTTGTTCATTGAACGTGACTTGAATCCAATGTAATCTGTGACATTTAATGCACATGACGTCATTGAAAATTCAAACTAGAGAATTGTCAATCCCTCTGAAGTTTTACTTTTATGAAATATTAAAGCAGCTAAAAACTAATATTGAGACAAATTGTCACGTCGAAATGTTTTTTTTTCCTTTTGTGATAGTCAGTACGCTTGAATTTCTACTCTTTTGCGTGACGTGGCATTTACGTGGCGGCCTATAGCTGTCATGTTGGTTAATAAAGTGTGGTATTTGACGGCTATTTTTCCAGTATGGTTTTCCTGCTTCCGCAATAGCTATCCGGCAAAGTATTAACATAGCCTCATTTGTCTTCCTACATCTAGCCTGCGTTGCAGCCGGCCCACGCACTCTTCTAAACCATTTGAAAATTTATGTGTGAGGCCGTTTTACACGAAAAGTCAACACATATTTACGACTGTTTAATGAAAGAGTAAGTTGAGTCATGCATGTTTTTTTGTTTTGTTTTGTTTTGAAGAAGCAGAGGTTCCAAAATGCAACTGTACGCTGCGGTGTTTTGTTTGTAAGTCGATCGTTATAAATTCCGTCGGTTGGCGGACGGAACTGGCAGGTATTGTAATGAAGGATTAAATTCATTGTTCACAAGATGCAGTGCCGGTTTCAAGATCCGTTGCTTAGTAGGCTTAGCCTCAAGTGTGCCGATAAATTACCAAAAACTGCCGATATAAGTGTCTAAAAGTTGCCGAAAAGTTGCATTTTTCTTTTTACTTGTTTGCACTTGAAGTTGGTTTTATTGCAGTTTAGATCGTGCACAGTATATTAAGTAGGTTTTATTCGCATTTCCTTTTTTTAACAAAACTTCATTAATTAATAGAACTCATATTCAACAGTTGAATTAATCGGGCCTTCATCTGCACGTTCTTCCCAGTTGGAAAGTGTTGTCCGCCATCTTGAAAAACGGATCATGTGATACCGTTTACCTCATGGACAGGCGTGTAACACCAAGCTGACATTGGTAATTGGGGCAGTCCTGGACTCCACACACTCACTCAGTAGTATAAATAACACAGTTAACTGAGCTGATGTTTCTTTCGAAAGCTAAAAACTGTCGCAAAAAAAAATTAAATCAAAACTTGCCGAGAATTTTAAAAGTTGCCGTAAATGGCAAAAGTTGCCCAAAATCTCAAAAGCTGCCGGAAAGTTGCCGAGCAACTTGTGGCTAAGCCTATTGCTTGGACTCTTTTATGACTAACAACTCCTTCCAAAGATATCCCTTCCTAGATTTCTCTTCGTTAAAAAAAAGTGCAAATGCAAATACAAAAGATTTTCTATTAAAAATACAAACGCATGTCAACGTTAATTTATGGCTTCTAATTGTCTGTAAAATTGACAAGGAGAAAATATATAGAAGAAAATGTATCATAAAACTCGCGTCCAGCCTTGCTTTTTCTGGTACTTTTTTTAAAATAATTCAAAATTTTCTGCACCAATTATAAGTAAAAGACAACGAAAAAACATGTTTGATGGACAGATACATTTATTGTTTTCATGATCCGAGATAAAGGAGTATTAAATTTAGCAAAAAGACGGGTTTTATTAAGAATAACATCAGGCTGCTCTCCGGGCGTCATTTGGGGTCAAAAACAGAGCGATACGTGGGAAGGATCGCAATTTTTCTTTATTTGTTTATAGAAGAACAAGCTAAGCCTCAAGATCACGCGCAAAAGTAGCCTTTAAGTCTTGTCATGATTGCCATGAGCAGGGTTTTCTGACAAGTTTAGCCTTCATGGCAGACGTCATTTAAAGGAAATATGACCCTTTATTCCTTGTGTTATACGCCTTCTTCTACCCTTCCTCCCTCCATTTATAGAACCAATTTACTGCTTCTGCCTTCCATTTGAAAAGCTGGATTAGCTAATAAGTATTTCCTGTATAAGATCTATACTAGACATAATTAAGACCAAAATAAAAATCTAACAATTTATCCTCATCAAAGGACAAAAACTTCTTTTGGGGACTCTCAGGTTCATTGACACTTTGTTTGAACTGAGTCATGAGCTCGTAGTATTAATACAAAGAAATTCCTCAGAAATGAAGCACTGGCCTACCTTATCAGTGAACTGGTCACCTGTTTAGACGCCGTCTGTTTTTCGTTGTCAGTGAAGGAGACCGCTATCAGCTACGGTTGCAGAAAAAGACAAAAAGACAAAAACTTGGGGAGAAATCTAAAATAAAGTTTGATAAAGCCGTTAGTCCTTTTGAAAAGAAATTAAACTGGTCGCTTGTGTTATTAAACTGTTCACAAAAGCTCAAATTTAGCTGACAAAATTAAAAACAAGCCGGTTTGTGTGTCTTCCGTGTTCACTTTAGAATATTAAGAATTTATATTTTCTCTTTACCTAAATAATGCGATGCCAAATCGTATGTAACTTGACGCAACATTTTCTACTGGAATTATATTTACCTTCTTTTGAAAGGACGCTGGCAGTTTAAAAAAATAAAACAGCAAAACGAAGACTGACCGGCGATATAAACGAGTGGAGCAAGACAAGGTCTATTGTATTCGGACTCAGTGTTTGAGTTTCCCTGTCGATCACAAAAGCACTTCCCACTGTTTAATACATTGCTTAAAAATGATAAGTATCTGAGCCTTACTTCTTAATACGTATTATTTTATGTGTAAAGGTGCTTGTTACTAGCTATGGTTATTAAGGGTGTATGTTACCCCGTGTTTTGGAGTAGAAAAAAAAATCCCTTGTTACTTTTGCGATTTTTGCGAAATTTGAGGCTTTCTCGAGGTCCTTCTTGGCCCGTTTTTTTCTCTAAGTCGAGAATTTTGTTAAATTTTTTACTCGATTCTTGCTATTTTTGAGATATTTTTTACTTGGTGTTTTTAGCAAGAAAAATCCTTGTTACTTTTGCGATTATTGAGGGATATTCGGGGCCCTTTTTGGCCTTTTCTCTTTCTCAGTCTAAAAGAAAAAGGTTAAATTGGTTATTCTTGCTATTCTTGTGATATTTGCAAGTGATTGCCTCACAAAATTTTCTGGTGAATCATTTCTTTAGCGAAAATTGCAAAAAGAATTCGCTAGCCAATTTTTGTTCACAAGATCGTTCCTTCATGGACATATCTCAACTCTTATGAAACTTCACTATTATACTGGAATTAAACTGTCTTACCTTCTTTAAAAAGGACGCTGGCAGTTTGTAAAAACGGCAAAATGAAGACAGGTCTGCGTTATGAACGAGTGGAGCCAGGCAAG